TTTATCAATAATGTTTTTATAAAAATATTGATTGTAAAAACATTTATTTAAACCATGTAATTTCTTATTTAAAGTTTTTGTGAAATCGTAACCAAATATGACCCATCATGTGCAATAACATATACATAGGAATAGCTTTTTGCGACGAAGGTCTTATTGACATCCTTATTATTTCCTGTAAATACACACATATAATATATAAACGAGTTTTATTGAAATGATTATAGACATGAATTGTCACTACAAAATCAAATACCACCCGAACCTTGTATCCGAAGGGTTGAAAGTTCGTTATGTGGACGTCAGAGAGTCGTACGCTGCCATATTAAGCGGTTTGATTCCGAAGAAGAATTATTCGGTCCAAATACAGCCNGCCGGCGATACAGTGGAATTTAAGTTCTCAACGCCATCATGTTTGGAAGTCAACAATTTCAACTTTAACTCGTGTCGTAAGTATATATAGACATTTGACAGGTACTGAGGTACCTATATCCTATATCGGTCAATAGGCTATATACTCGTATTTAATAGGATGTACAACATCAACATGCTGTACAGAAAAATTTATTGTGACGATGTGCTTTCCTTCTTAGGCTATTTAAAAATATGTTTCTTGTTTAACTACCTATATATTATATATAACAATAGCATTGTAGCAACATACCTAATATACGTATCTACATTAGGTAATTACTAGGTAATTTTTAATATGTAGTTTTTGACATTAGTTACCTACTTATAGACTAATATAGTTATATTATTATAGTTAATTTTTAATCAATAACCTTTCTAAAAGTTTTCATTTTATAATTAGTATATAGGATTTTCCCCAAGTGAGGAATTTTTAATTCCCCTATGGTAATTGATTATACGGGGGCTTAGACGATTTAAAAAAGTTAGTAATTACTATTGATCCATCAATATAAATAATTTGTAAAAATGATTCAATTAAAATGAATATTACATTCAATGTAACATAATACATTTTATATATTTTTATTAGGATTATTATCCTTATAGTACCTATCAGTGGCGTGCGCAGGAATTTGGTATGGGGGGGGGGTCATAAATAAAAATGTATTATTTTCAATATTTGTTATTTAATATTATATATATAATAGTCGTTAGAAGTCTAAAAAAAAAGCCCATGGGGGGGATATATCCCCCATCATCCCCCCCCTGCGCACGCCACTGGTACCTATGTACATTTTAACAACAATCATAGCTCAGAAACTAGGAAGTTATGTCTCATTATAGAATTTTGATTCAGCTAGATTGGTAAGTACGTCAACATTTAAAAAAAAATCTTCCATTTAAATAATTTTCAATAAAAAGAGGGTTTTCATTTAAAAAAGAAGTTTTTTACCACCATCACAGTCCACTACTTGTGGTATATACTTGCGTCTACTTTTTTTTATAATAAAAAAAAAAACTATCAATTTGTATTAAAGTGAAATGTAATATATAATAATTAAATCATAACTCATATTTTTTATAGCTCCGAATGAACCGTACGACGTGAAGCTGTACGTGACGCAGACAGCGGGGCATACTGATAAGAGCACATACAACGCCCAGGTGCGCTGGAAGAGCCTGAACGGTCGGGGGGTGGACTATTTCACGATCAAGTTGAACAACGAGGCGAAGAACGTGTCAGGTAAGCACTACATAACTGCGGCGGACGCGTCAGGCGTCACTGAGTACGTGGCGTCGTTCGACGATGTGCCGTTTAAAGACTGGTGCTTGGTGAGCGTACAGGCGTATTCAAGCTTAGGCCACAGCCAAGAGCTCGTGGCGTGGCTGCAGCGCGACCTCAACGAGACCGTGGCCACGGATTCGCGGCATTTGTTCTACTATCCGTCGTGGACGACGGTCACGCTGTTCGGCTTGATGGCTTTCTGCGCGGCGTTGGCAGTCGGACGGCACTTGCACCGGCGCGCGGCGGCCGGCACGGATCGAGGTAGCAAGGGCGGCGTGTCGGCGGACGGTTACGACATGGTCATGCTCAAGGGGCTGGACGACGTGGACGTGTTGCTGGACGATAACGCGGTCACTGTGTCCGACGTGTTCCTAGGGCACGGCCACTTCGGCGTGGTCAGAAAGGGCACGCTAAAAACGGCTGACGGCCTGGTGTGTTCAGTGGCCATCAAGTCGCTCCGGGACCGACCCAGTGGTCGGGACCGGGACGAGTTCTTGCGTGAGATACTACTCATGCAGAAGGTCGGCAAGCACCCGAACATCGTGTCCATGATCGGATGTTGTCTGGATGCCAACCGACGATGCATGCTGGTCGTCGAGTACTGTCCGTTGGGTGACTTGCAGACTTATCTGAGAAAGGTGAGATAATTAAATGACACAAGTACCCATCATAAACGGGTCGRCACTGGCCATTTGTGACAAAGGCAATATCATTCACTGTATTAAGTGTATTGCTTAAACATAATTGAAATTTTAAGTGTAGTAGAGTAGGTAGGTAGGTAGTGTACCTAATAATAATACTATCCCCATCACTATATAAGCTTTGACATTTTGTGATGGCACATCATTGAAGTGTTTTCAAATTTTTGTGTTACCTAATATCATTGAGTATAGATAGTACTATAAATACTATCTATACTCAATGCTAATATGTATGACAACATTAAGAAACGATTCAATTATGTTCATCATATGTTAGAAGAATAAATATTTATAATTTTTAACAATCACATAGATTCGAACTTCGTCACTTCGTCTTATCATATTGATAGGCATACCACTTAAAAAGTTCACTCGTATTTAGTAAATCTGATGAACACAATTGAATTGCTAAAAATATATTTTAATTTGGGTAAAAAATGTAGACAGCTATATATTTTACCATACATCCAATACCTCCAGAGAACGCCAATGCACACTTAAAATGTGAACTTTAAACGGTTATAAAAAAAAAAAAGTGGATATGTAGTTTTTATATTCTCCAACCACTATCATATCAACTTATGGGGAACCTTGTATTTTGTATTTTTTGACCCAACGAATAAAATGTTATTGACATTTATAAATAAAAACGAAAAAAATTGACAGCTTAAATGTCTATAAATAATTTGAAAATATTTTAAATATTTTGTAAAATGCTAGTAAAAACATTCAGTAGACATTTCTTGTATTTGCGGTGATTCGTTTTAGAGTTACACCAAAATCTAAAATCTATTATCTCATAAAAAACTGATTTTGTGTAAAAATTCCGGTTTTCCCGGCGCTTTTGAAAACTACTGAAAATGTCCATATTGGACCTCTCTAATGCACCAACTAGATTCGCTTTCCAACTGGAAAAGCTACTGAAATCGAAGAACTATTTCGACAACTTATCGTGTGCATAGACACAAAAAAAAAACACCTCATTGTTAAATCAATACATTCATCGCTCCGCTCAAAATCTATATTATGTTAAAAACAATATATAATTTGGTTATTTTTATCAATGTAAAACGAATATAACTATTCATTTAGTTAGATATTGTCTAACTTAATGCAACAGTTAAATCAAATAAAATGTATAGTCAATAAAAATATAGTAGTCAATTTATAGTTGAAATAACAACAATTATCTTACTAAAAAAAATAAATAATTTTAACTATATTTATAGCTGTCACATAATATACATAATATATCATTATAAATTACGATTAAATTAAACATAACAACAATCAAAATACCTAACAATTTTTATTTTTGCGTGCGTTATCGTGATGCGTATATAGGTCAGTATAAAATCGTGGTACGCCAACGACTTTTACGTCGGCCGGACGGATCAGGCGGAGCTGACAGCTGCGGAGAACAGCATCAAAGTAGTCGAATCGCTACAGGAAGCGGTAGGTCCGCCGCCGATGGTCTTCAACAACTGTTACTTGTACCACGGCGATGAAAACGTATTCCTCACGGTGGATGACTTGTTGTGTTTCGCCAGCCAAGCCGCAAACGGCATGGTAAGGAGTCACTAAGGACGCCTGCAGTTTCTATTATTTTATTATTGTTATTATTCGCATACCGTTCAAATACATAAACGAAAACTTGATAATCAAATAACAGCAAACTTTGCTCGTGGACAGGAATATTTTATACGGCACAATATTAGCTAGGTATCTATACCACAGAATATAATATGAARCATATATTTAAATATATTTCATACATATTTTGCCTATGTCATGAGCGGACGAGCAACGATTATTATAACTTCTGTAAGAAGAAAGTGTATTTGTTTAATATTATAATCCTTCGTTTTCTCTCTCTATATTTTCCTTTTTTCAATGCGATCAATGAACTTACGTAGGTACACTGGTACAATAAATACCTACTATAGTGTACTATATATCTATTCACATAGGCGGAAATCCATGGGAATTTCTACGGGGGCTAAATTAACTAAAAAAAAACTATATTCAAATAAAATCACATTTCATATGAAACCTGACAATTTTTTTTTTTTTTTTTTGGGGGGGGGCTAATCCCCCCCATTTCCGCCTATGACTATTCACTTAATTATAGGTAAGTACCTACTCACAAAAAAAAAATATAATTCCACATCGTTTTGAAATTCTTACTAACATTTTACACTTGGTAACTATACCTATTTAATATTGATTCCATATTGTTAAATATTCTTCATGGATAATACTCGTCAAATTTATAAAAAAATAATACCTGTTATATGCCAGCCAATGACGTACGCATGATTTTTAAATGGGGGGTGTTTGAAAATAAAAAATCATTTAACGATTCGCGGATTGTTGATAATATATTAGTTTTAGTTCAATACCTAGTAGTTAATATTTCTACTAATAAGACTATGGCTGAATAATTAGGTAAACACACGATTTAAGATACCGCAGYTAGTAGCTACTACATTAAATCATGGGTAAATATAAAACAAATAATTATGAATAATATTGGAATTGCCTCCCAAATTTAGGTAGGTAACCTTTTTTCACTCGAATTKCCTCCGGGTATTTTAGGATGAAATTTGAGTATACCCWAATAGTCTACTTGAATTATCTCCCATTTTAGCATATTTAGATTACCTATCGATAGTTTTATAGTTTATACTATCGACTATATCGATTTTCTTRATGTTCGAAAATATTAAACTTAGTATTATATAAAATAGTATTTCCCAGGCAGATTAATTTGTCAAATGCAATAATCTTGTCGATCACTGATTATCAAATTTTATATTCATTATTTTTATTATTATTAATTATCATTACAGCTGTCAGTCTATTTACTAAAATATTATAGGTAATATAATTATATATACATATATTATCATTTATTTTCTCAGTCTATAATATGTAAGGTTATACCTTTATATTATGTCCTTATACCTAAATCGATTCCAGTATAAGAGGGTCATTAATTTTTTTTTCGGGAGGCAATTCGAGTAACCTTTTTTAAAAAAAATTCGTTGGAGGCAATTCAAGAGCCCCAATAATATGGTCAATGGGAAATTGAGGAATGGGGGCTTCAGCCCGTTAGCCCTTCCCCTTACGWACGCAGCTGATGACAGTCAATTATAAATACGGTAACATATAAAACCAAGCAACATAGGTTCATAGTCATAGGTATACAGTGTACGTATAAAGGTTAGGTTATGTCCTTAATGTTTGTCCCGAAACGTGCGGCGTACGCACTAAAATGGTTATTTATTTTATTTTGCATATAAATACAGGGGCATGCCCAAAATCAATGGTGAATAGTTAAGTAATAYACAAACGCGGTCAATTTACAAATAAAAGTGAAAAAGAGGGGTTGTGGTTAACAGTGCACATTTGACGAATGTTAAGAGAATAATTGCCAACATAGTTAGCATAGGGTTTGGGCAGGGCATATGAGCGAATGTAGAGCGGCTAGGTACATTGAAATTAACGAGAGCTAGGGTCGTGGGGTATAGTCGATTTTACCAAACGTMAAGCTTATAATATCCCACGAGTCACAATATATCTATTAATTTTATGCAAATTCTAGCTGTTTTTGGAAAATAACCGAGTCGTGCACAGGGACTTGGCCGCCCGGAACATACTACTCAGTGACCATCGCACGATAAAGATTTGCGATTTCGGCCTTAGCCGGGACGTGTATGAACAGAACCTCTACCAGAAGTCAAACCGCGGCGATCCACTGCCAGTAAAATGGATGGCCCTGGAGTCGCTCAAGTACCAGCTATACACCACCCAGAGCGATGTGTGGTCGTTTGGTGTGCTTCTCTGGGAAATCATGATGTTGGGTGGGACTCCGTACCCGACGATAAGTTCGTCCAGGATATACGAAGTATTGTGCAGGGGTTACCGTATGCCCAGGCCTACCTTGTGCTGTTACAGTTTGTACGAAGTCATGCTCGCGTGTTGGCAATCCAACCCAGCAAACCGACCGAAGTTCGGCACGATCAAAGACACAATCGACGGTATAATGGAAAATCAATACACATAATCACATTGTAATTTTTACCAATTTTTTTTATATATAATTATATTATAATATACGATTTTTTTAAAAATATAACATATATAGATTGAGACCTAAGTGAAGTAGTAACAATTAACTTGTTACCTCAGATTTAGGGTCTTTAATGACTAATAAAGAAGAAGACGAAATAATTTGGGATAGGAATGCATGTTGAACAGACGGATAAGGTCGTGCCAGTATATCAAGTTTAGCTGTCATTTTATAACACCCTTGAGAAGCAACTGCAGCGTATAAGCGAATGGTGCGCGTTGTTGAAACTGGCAAGAAAAATGGCTTTGGATTAATTACTCCAATCCAACAGAAATGTTGATCATCGACATCCGACCTGAAAAAAAATTTCATGATAATTCCATTATATTAATTTTACAAATCAACTGAAAAATGATACTTACTTTGAAGAACTAGCCGAGTTAGTATTAATTTTAACTTCAATTGTATGTTCAACGCAATTCTTAAGTATTATGAGTACAGATACAATACACATTCTAAAATAATAAAAATATATAACTAAATTTGTATTAATCCATATAACTTATAACATTTTTATAACTTTATCACTTATAAATTATAAACAGTTGTGTCCCCGTGARGTATAATTCCATATATACCATAAAATACTCTTAACATTTTTATTAAAAATCATGGGTACCTATATTGTGTTTGTATATGSTCTCAACTTTCAATAAATTTTGCAAAAAAATAAAAATAGTTATTGTTTTTGTAATGAATGAATCATACTAAATCTAAAGATATACTATTTAATTTATTTAATTTTGAAATAAATAAAATGAAAATTTGTTTATTATTCTTATCACTAATACTCGTCCCATATTATACCAAAGTCTGGAATTTAATGTAAGTTTTTAAATTCTTAGGCATTTGGAATATCATTTGATTTAAACATTCTATACTTTTTCATCAAATTGTTAAAATTACACTGAGTATAACTCAACAAATTTTAAGGAAAAACCACTGGTTATAAATTATATAGAAGAATTAGCAATCAAAAACTTACTTTTTATCAATAAAGGAATGTGAAACAGTACTAGGGTGTGAAAAGGCAATATTGAGCAACCGATTCATGGGTGATTCTAATAAACCTGTTGCATCATTAGGTAGAGGTGTCCCATCATATGGATGTATATTCCGATCAGGTCCAAATATTTTTAATCTTCCTATTGGCTTGGAAATATTTTTTGATGCATCTAAACATCCAAATTCAGGCCATGCAACACTTAAATTTAATTTTGTCAAAGAAACCCTGTGAATGCCACAAATAATTCTTAACCGATTTGAATGATCTTTGATTATTACCTGAGAATAAAACAATAGATGTAAAATGGAACACAATAAAAGTAAAACTATCACATTACCTGCCATAAAATGGCCAAAACGAGATCAATGCATTTCAACACCTCTGTCTGAACTTTGTGTCTATCAAACTTTGGCATTTTAATTTCTTTTGATAGTGATTTTGTTAATGAAACAAATTTTTCACACATATCAGTTTGAGGAAATTGTTCATTGTCAAAATTAATTTTAGAGATGCCACTTTTGTTTGTTCGACAAGCTTGTAAGAATAAATGACATGACTGTTGTTGGTCTAAATCTTTTATACTTCCTTGAGGGTATATTTTTTTAGATAGTGTCCAATCTGGACTGTACAAGAATACTTGCTTTAGTTTTACTTGTTCTACTTCATTTCCCTGAAATTATGATTTTATATAAAAAATGATAATTCTACTAGAAAAAAAAAAATTACCTTATATAAATTATGAACAATTGTTTTTAAATTAAGGGTATCACTATTTTGGTTTGCAAGTAATGCAGAAGCAGATAACCTAACACAAGGTTTTGCCGTCATAAACCAGCTAGCCCTGMATAATCTGTACTCTTGTTTTTTAGTTTCCATTTGAGACTCATAATAAAATAACAAGTCGAGGCTGAATGTTTCTGTGTCTGGACTATTGAAGCAAAATTCTACAGTCTTTTTTGAATTTGGAGGCATTTGAATTAACAAACTACGAATTTTTTTRTTTTTGCAAGAATGATTTGATTCAGTGAAAAATGAATCTTCAATTGAAGTTGACACATAAATTTTATGCAATGGTATTGCACCAGCATTTTCTAATATTAATCGTATTACATTCATTTCACCAATTAATGTGCTAACTTGATTTCCATCAAAATCAACCTAAAAAAAAAAAATTAAACCTTACACATAATCGTATGATATTTAATATTAACACTATACTAAATAGTTATAAGAGTTTTATTTTAAATAATGATTTATAATATGAATTTAAAATATTGGTTGTATTTAATCAATAATTTAAATAAATATTGAATATTAATGAATATTTTTAATTCATATTATATCAATGTAGAATTAAGTTTGAATGTAAACAGATTTGAACAACTTTTGCCTTTTTGTATAACAAAAATATTTTTTGTGTACTGTGTAATAAATATAACTGTTCAAATGTGCACTGTTTAGGATTTCCTATTTAACGCACAGAATAAATATTTATCCCATGGTTGATTYTATGTAATTTATATTATTATAAGATCACAACTTAGTGACTTACTTACCTACTATACTTGATTTAACTATATAATATCAAAATAATCAAAATAAAAACATTGTTTAAAAATATATATATTTATATTCAGTTTCTTTTATGTAAGTAATGAAAAACAAAACAAAAAAATTTTAAGACAGATAATAACCCCGTGTAAATTAATTGATTATTCTTTTATATAAATATAGAAGATTTTACTCTAGCTAGTAACTAGTTAACAGTATATTAGAATAATAAGAAATTTGAATCAGTCTATTATTTGAAGCTTCAAAAACAAAATAATAAGTATCTACTTAATTTGTTTAACTATCTATAGAAAACTATAAGTACTGTTTAATTATTTATCCTGTGCGCATATCAAATGATTTAAGGCACAATAACTAAGGCTTAAGTTTGTATGCAAAAAATAATATAGAATTTAAACGTATTTATGAATAAATAATTTATAGTCACAAATGTTTGTGGGCTGTCGCGGGCTTAATCATCCTGGCATAATTAATATATAAGTGAATAGTAAAGGTGTCATTCTGAACTTTGTATTTATATGGACCACAAAAAATAGCAAATTTGTTGAATGTTATATGACAAAATCACTGGACATTTTTTTTCATAGGTGCCATTAAATTATATAAAATATAATATAATAAATATTTTAAGTTTTTACATGCTACAAATCTGATATACACAATGCCCACAAAAAATATTAATTAAGAAATATTATAATTTTTTGTTTCATACTTTTAGAAAATGTTCATACATTCACTAACTATTTGAATGTGAATAATTAAAAATAAACATAAACAGTAGAAATCACTATAACAAGCATCGCTTAGAGTGAGATACTGCTTACAGCAAGCAAAATGTTAGGTCTCATCAGCACATGAAGTCAAGAGTCTTTGTCATAACTTATAAGTTATAACTAACTGATAATTATTAACAGTGTATTTATAATCTACCTTCATTAAAGAAGTTTGTGGTTGAACAGTGAACTGAATAGAACTCAACATCTCAAAACGTTGCCAACCATTTATTACTCGTTTGACTGTGTCATCACTTGTAGTAGATGGAATCAATAAGTTAAACTGAACACCAGTTATAGTTAAAATTCCAGTACTTTTAGTTTTCAGTCCAAGAATTATCTGATAATACATAAGAAAAAGTTTAAGAATGTAACATTATACATTTATTATTTTTATGTGTAAGCTACTTGTGTTGTGCTGGAAGGTGCTAAAAGTAGTTCTTCTAGCACTTGAGGTTCCACCAAATTTAACTCTTTATCAAAAGTGTATGTCAATGATAAGTTTTCAATGCATAAAGATATGTTTAAAGGGTTTGATAATGTCATTTGTACTTGCACTAATTCTGTTGATACAAATATACATTGTAAATTTTAATATGAGTATAAACCATTTTAAATTACTATATTGAACTCGATAAAAAAATAAATATTTTACCATTCACATACAATAATTGTCTTATTGCATCATTGCTTCCATAGAAAGCAAAAGTTGGCTTAAATATTAATGGTGGTATTCCACGAGCTTCTGTAATCAAATCTTCTTCCATTTTATGCCACCTTGGGTTCAACAAATCTTCATCAAAACTATGTTCTTTAGTTATTATACTGTCTGCATTCAATAATATTTTGATTTTTTTCTGATCTATGAGCGGTAGAGATAAATCAATGACAGACGAGTCATTTTTCTCTGCTGCATATTCCTATAAAACCATAAGCCATCTGAAATAATGTAAATGTGGAAAATACCAATTATTATACCAATTTTATGTTCAAATAATCTCTAAGAATAGTAGATTGTTGTTCTGGTGGTTGACTTGAAGCTCTTGCCAGCAATTTGGAATATGCTTCAGAAGCTTGTTTCATGTGTTTTAAAAATGTGGCCTGTCTACCAATAGCTGTTTGTATATGGTCTTCTGCTAATGTCCACTGTGTATTTTCAAAGACCTATAAAATTTAAATAATAATTATTATCCTACAGAAAAAGCTAGTGATGAATATATTGGTTTTACAATGAAGTTTTTTCATATGTTCCTCTTTAATACTCCTTTTATAGCAGAAAAAATGCTTCAGTTTTGAACTTCAAGGGTGGGTTTTAACTAATTTTCATTTTTTTATGTACCATGAATCTATTTAAACTGTTCTTTTGTATGTTAGTATTAACTTAAAACTTAATAACAATAATATATTATGCAAAAATTATATAATGTATGCAAGTTTTTATGACGAAACTTGCATCAACCTATTGAAATAGTTAGATCTCTGCCCAAGATTTTTTTGGCATGCAATGATTTATCAAAAACTAGTCATTATAATACCCTTATCAATGACAATTAGGGTTGCGCAAAAACGACAATGGTTCGATATATCGATGAATGAAATATTGATGTAAACTTTTTGGTATCAAAATATTGAAATATTGATATATCGATATAATTTTATATATTAATAT